AGGGGTGCTTGGTCTCCTGGACTTTGTCCAGAACAACTGGGAGGCCAGCATCTGCAAGTGGCCAACAGGCTTGCCTGAGGCCTACAGCGATGCCCCATTGTTCCAGTGAGAGATGCACTCAGGGATGTGGCCGGGCAGCTCAGCTCTGGGTCAGGCCCGGTTCTGACCACAGTGAGCCATGCAGCTGCTCGCTGCTCCTCACCTGTACGTGGGCACTGACTGCCTCCTGCGCCCGGGGCTCAGTGCACTGAGAAAGAAACCGGAGCAGGGCCCAGTGCCTGGCCCGGAGCAAAGTGCACTGGGGTTGTTGCTGGTGTCGGGGTTCCAGGCTGCGCTCCCCTCTGCTCTGGGAAGGTGGCCTGGGTGACTGCTGGCAGCAGGGCCTGCCCACATGACCCTTTCTTTTTTTAAAAAAAAAAAATGTTTTATTGAGAGGAAGGGAAAGAGAGAGAGGGATAGAAACATCAATGATGAGAGAATAATTGATTAGCTGCCTGGCATGCCTCACACTAGGAATCGAGCCTGCAACCTGGGCATGTGCCCTGACCAGGAATCGAACCATGACCTCCTGGTTCATAGGTCAGTTTCAACCACTGATCCATGCCAGCCGTGCTGCCCACATGGACCCTTTCTGGTCTTTGGGGCCCAGACTTGCCTCCAGGCAGTGCCCCCAGTCCACTGGGGCTGCCCCTTCTCCGGTGGATTCAGAATCCTTCCTCCCTCAGGCTCCCAGCCCCCGCAACAAGCACAGAGGGGTGACAGGGAACAAGTATCATTCATTCCTCAAGTATTGTCTGTGCACTTATGTGCCGGGGGGCGGGGGGGTCACAGTCAAGTGGAGCTCCCCATGGCACGGGGGCTTGAAGCAGAGGGGGAGACTGCAGTGTGAGAGAGCTGTGACGGCCAGGCTGCACGCAGGTGACCCTGCACTGGAAGGCCAGGGAGGTTCTCCTGGGTGAGGACCCTGAGCCGTGATCTGAAGGATGAGAGGAGCTAATCAAATGGAAAGGAAGTGCCCAGCAGATGGAACAGTCTGTGCAAAGGCCAGGTGGTGAGGAGCGGTGATCGGGCACGAGCAGGAGGAGCACCGGGCTGGCAGGGAGGCCCGGCCCATGAGGCTGTGGAGGCTGGGGCAGAGCCCAGGTCTCCAGCCCTGCAGCAGTGGGGAGTTGTGGCGAGGTTTAACACTGTCAGGAGTATTGTGACAAGACTTGCATTTGACAATAATAAAAATAATCAGCACTGCCAAGTTTTATTATGTGCAGGCTCAGTGCTGACTGCTTTCCGACAGCGCACTAGATTCTCACATTATGTAACTGGGGAGCTGCTGTTCCCATTTTATAGATGAAGGGCTCGTTCTTAAAGAGGTTCGGTCACTCAGCCCAGAGCCCAGCGAGAAAGCAATGGAGCCTGTGCTGGGAACCACTGGGCCACACACTACGTATTCCCCCCAGGATGACCTCAGGAAGTAGGGACCATTATCCTCCCCACTCTATAGATGACGGAACAGGCCCAGGTCTAGAGAGTTGTCTGAGGCCACACAGCTGGAAATGGAATTGGTCCATGTTCTCAACCATGGCCTCACATTGCTTTTGGAAGGTGTTCTGGAAAAAGCTCTTGAGCTGCTGTGTGAAGGAGGATGCACAGTGGAGGCAGGAGAGGACAGTGGCTTGGTCTGGGACAGCGGTGACAGTGCCATGGATGCATTCAGTGAGGGGCCGCGTGGGGCTGGCGTGAGGGTGGAACCTGGGTCCCTTGGGGTCGGCTTGGTGCAGCTGAATGGACTGGGGAATCATTCTCTGAGGCAAGGTGGGTGGTATGGAAGCCTGACAGGTTTGGTCTGGGACAAGGAGGTTTGGGGGTGACTATGGGATGTCCAGGTGGGGAGTCAAGAAGGCAGTTTGGATCCACAGATGGAGGGGGGGGGGGGGGGGGGGGTGAGACCACCTGAGAGAGAGACAGAGCAAGAAGGGGCCTCAGATTCTGGTCCTGAGACTATATAGGAAGCTGCCAGAGAAGGGAGCTGCCACCAGAGAAACCAGCCCTGCTGATGACTTGATCTTGGACTTCTACCCTCCGGAACTGTGAGGAAGCAAAGTTCTGTGCCAGGCACAGGGCTGGGTGCCAGGGGAGGTGGGGGGGGGGCGGTCACAGTCAAGTGGAGCTCCCAATAACTGTTTAAGCTGCCCAGTGTGTGGTTCTGTGTCCGGCAGCCTGAGCAAATGGACCTGGATTACAGCTGCCCCTGGAACAAAGCACGGGCTGGAGTGCAGTAGAAAACCCATGTGCAACTTCTGACTCCCCCAAAACTTAACTACTAATAGCTTACTCTTGACTGGAAGCTTTCTTGATAACATAAACTGTCAATGGACATATTTTGTATGTTATATGTATTACATACTGTACTAGTGGCCCGGTGCACGAAATTCGTGCACGGGAGGGCGGTGTTCCTCAACCCGGCCTGCACCCTCTCCAATCTGGGACACGTGGGATCGGGCCTAAACCAGCAGTCGGACATCCCTCTCACAATCCGGGACCACTGGCTCCTAACGGCTCACCTGCCTGCCTGCCTGCTCGCCCCTAACCACTCTGCATGCTGGCCTGCTCACCCCCAACTGCTCCCCCTACCAGCCTCATGGCCCCCAACTGCCCTCCACAGCTGGTCTCCTGGTCTAATTAGCATATTACCCTTTTATTAGTATAGATTCTTACAATAAAGTAGACTAGAGAAAGGGAAATTTTATTAAGAAAATAATAAGGTTTGTCTGTTTTTTCAAATTGTTGCAAATATCCAAATTTTTTTCCAATATACTTATTGGAAAAAATTCATGACAAGTGGACCTATGCAGTTCAAGCCTGTGCCTTTCAAGGGTCAACTGTAGTTAGCAAAGCAAGAGAACAGATCCAGCCCAGCTGGAGTGGCTCAGGGGTTGAGCATCAACCTATGAACCAGGAGGTCACGGTTCGATTCCCTGTCAGGGCACATGCCCGGGGTGCTGATCAATGCTTCTCTCTCATCATGGATGTTTCTATCTCTCTCCCTCTCCCTTCCTGTCTAAAATCAGTAAAAAAAAAATTGTTTTAAGGAGAACAGGTACAGGAGGGAGGTGGAGCGCTGTGACTTTGAGGTGTGGCATGAGGAGGTGCTCTCTGTCAAGGAGGGAAAAGGGTGTAAATGGGGGTTTGGAGATGCGGTTTCTAGCCAGGGTTCAAGGGGAGCTGAGCAGGCTTGGAAGAGCTGCCGAGGGGAACACTGAGGCAGTCAGTGCTGGGGAGCGACACCCGCCCCCCGGGGTGCAAGTCCCCCAGCAGCTCTCCTGGGGCAGGACGGGATCTCGAGGACCGATGAGCTTTGGGTTTCCTGCCAAACGGTTCTGATGAGGACCTGTGAAGGCTAAGCTGGAGAGGAAGGGGCGTGGAGACGAACACACCTGGGCTCCTTTGCACCTGACTCTAAAGCTGCAGGAGGGTCCCCTCTGGGAGTGCGGCCTGTGGCCCAGCGGCAGCCTGGGGCCCAGCAACGGCCTTGGAAGGAAGCACTGTTGACCTTCACAAAGACAACCAAGCCGTCTGGCAGAGCCTCCCCACACAGAAGGCCCAGGGCAGGGGAGGGATGGGAACAGGTGGCAGCCAGGGGCAGGCCCCTTGGAGTTCACCTGGTGGGAGGACAGGAACCTTTGGGAGGTGCTGGGGGCGGTGAGCACAGCAGCAGGCCTCTGGCTCTCTCAGGCAGAGACGGCATAACCACGCCAGCCACAGATCCAAGGCCGAGGGCTGACAGGGCACGGACAGCCCTGAAGTGTGAGCACAGAGCCAGCCCAGGAAACAAGAGCAACCCTGGAGCCCGACACCACCGCTCTGACCCCCAGACCTCTGGCCTCATGGCCCTCAGCCAGCTCGGGGGACAGCATCGGCCTAGACCTGGCGCCTTGTGAGCCCAGGCCCACCCCTGCCTGTAAGGCAGGAAGTGGCAGAGCCTTCACCCAGCAGACACCTCACTGAGGACCCCATGGCCAGGCCTTGCGGCAGTTGGCAAGAGGGCTGAGCGACACCACTGAGCTGTCTCGGTGATGCCAACAGGGGGACTGCATGGACATCATGCCCATCTTATAAATGAAGAAACTGAGGCCCAGAGAAGGACCTCATAAGCCCCCTTCCCTCCTGCAAACGTGAGGGTGAGGGCTAGAGGCAGACCCCAAGGGCCCAGGCCAGGGTTGCCTTACCTGGGTCCCGAGGCCTGCTCCGGGCCTGCATGCCGCCTAACGAGGGTCCTGTGGTTGCCGCAGCAGCATGGCTGGCCCGGAGGAGCAGCTCAGTGTCGTGGGGGAGGGGGAACAAGAGGCCCGGCCCACCGCGCCTACCGCCTGGGCCGCATGTATGTTTAATGATGTCTATTATTCCTGTTTTGTCTCTGGAAGAGGCTGAGCAGCTGACAGGATCCAAGAACAGCCTGGAGAGCTGGGCAGCAGGCCTACGCCACTCCAGCCTGGCCCAGAAGCCCCCGGGGAGCTCCTACCCCTCCTGCAGGCCCAGCCCTGGCAGCCTCACAAGACCTGTTACCCTTCACCCTGAGAGGCATTTTCTCCAGGAAGCCTTCTCCACGGCTCAGGCATCTTAGCCTGCGGTTCACATCCCACCTCCGCTCACGAGCTGTGCAGTGCGCGGCAGGCCACTGCCCGGGGACAGGCTGCTGGGAGGGCCCTGCACAGGCCCTGGCACACCCAGGGCTGAGAACACCTGCTGCCCCTCCTTGGCACCATGCCAAGACCCTCCAGCCCACCTTCCATGGCAAAGGCTACTGGCTCCCCTGTGGGAGGACACATTACAAGGGCTTCTGGGGTTGCTGCCCACCTCCGCAGCCAGGCCTGGTCTCCAGGGCGCAGCCCATCCTGGAGTCCCCACATTCCCCCCAGCTGGAGCCGGTCTGATCATTAGGCTCATTGCTACCCACGGACCAAACCTGGCATGAGTTCAGAAAACGTACAAAGTTGACCTCACTCTGAACAGGAAGTGTCCTCATCCTTTATTCCAGAGAGAGCCGAGATCAGAGGGCTGAGAGAGACAATACCCCAAACCCCAACGTCCCCCAGCTGTCTGCACAGGGCCTGGGCTGCCCAGGAGGGGTGGCCCTTCAGGACCTGGCAGGCTGTGGAGGGCATGAACCGGGTCTTTAAACCCACTGACTAGTTTCCACCACTGGGCAGCCGAGGGACAAAAGGGGGGAAGGGTTTTTGCCCTGGGAGGCTCCTTCTTGGGTACCAGAAAAGCTGCAGGAGCAGAGGAGCCAAAGTACCCCTACAGTAACACCACCTCTGGGACCCTGGCTCCACCCCAGCACTGACCAGCCGGCAGGCCCTGGCTGGGAAGTAAGGGGGGGCAGCGTGCTCTCTGTGCCCAACCAGGGCTAGGTGTAGGGCGCAGGCCCAGGGATCCAAACTCAGAAGCCCCACCCAAGGGGGCTAGAATCATGGGAAATGCCTCCAGCCCAACCTAAGGCCCCCACCCCCTCCCTCAGTCCCACACACTCTTCACTGTCTACTGAAGAAACTTCTAGAAAAAGCAGACTTAAGAGACCCTTCCCGGAATACATGTATTTGTATTCTTCCTGTTGGGCTTCAGTGTGTCCCATTGGGTCCGACTCCCCAGGGAGACAGGTGGCTGGCTGGGCCGGCCCAGGCTACTTCTTGACAATCTGGATGACATCTTCGTGCTCCATGGTGTGGGTCAGGCCCACCCGCTGCGGGCTGTACTTGGTGCTGGTGCCCTGGGGGAACAGGCAGAGGGCGACGTCAGAGTCAGTCCTGATCAAGGCCAAGTCTGGGGAGCTACTACTAGAGGAGGGTGGGGATGTGAACGCCGGAGTCTAAAGTGGGGCATCCCAGCACCAGCGAACACCACAGGCCTCAGACAGCCGGACTCCCCAGTGGTCTGATCACCTCTGGGTCCTAAGATGGGGAGGCCTGTGTCCAGTTTGGGGCAGCATGCACGGGTGGAGTGGGACAGACACAGACACGCGGTCCCACATGGGAGCACAGGGACGCTGCACAGGAGGGGGGGCACCGTGCTCCCTCCTGCCCCAGGGCGATGTTGGGCATACCACCCACCCTCACTCACCCACACCAGCGCGTACTTGAACTGGCTGGCAAGCGACCGGTGGATGCGGTGGCACTAGTGGGAGGACAGAAGAGTCAGCAGGGAGGTGAATTCCATCCAATCCCACCAAGCAATCCCCAAGGCGGGCCCTCACACAGCTCTGGCCTCATCAGGGACACTGCCCCTCCACACAGCCTCACTCACGGCCAGGTCTGCCAGGGGCTGGGGCCTGGCTGGCTGTCAGCACCCTCTGCCCACCTTGCCTGACAACAGCCCTGACAGATGCTTTCAGGCCACCACACCTCAGCCTGGTCGCCGTGCTTGGTCACTGTCTCTTATGCCTTCCGCCCACAGCTGTGACCCGGGGCCTCCCACATCCCATCATCCACCCTCCACCCTCAGCCTGTGGGTGTCGGCATTCCCAGGTGGAAATGAAGGTCATGGGAATCCCAGCGCTGTCAGGAGGCTGGAGGCGGCCTGGGAGCAGCCAGCTCTTCCCTGGAAAACATGTCCTCTGGCGCTGGGTAGGTGCAGTGGGGGTGGGCCAGGGATAAGATGGGGCAACACTGCCTCTCCTCCCACGTGCCCACAGCCTTTCAGGCCCTGGTCAGGGACCAAATGCCTCAGCCTAGCTCTGTGGGGACAGAGGTAGACGGGGGCGCCTGCAAGAACATTCCCCAAGGAGCCACCCTGATCCAGCCTTCTCCGGGTGAGCAATGATGCCACAGCCACGCGGAGGGTGCTGCTGCAGTGACAGCCATAGACATCACACAGCCGGACTATAGTTTAAAAAAAAAACTATGAACAAATTCCTATGCACACTGCACATATCTTATTTTGAAGTAAAAAAACAAAACGGGAACAAATACAGTATTTGTATTTGCATGTGGCCCGCGGGCCGTAGTTTGAGGACCCCTGATTAAGCACAGGAACACCTTGGGCAATAGCCGCCTTGACAGAACACCCTGGTGGCTCTGAGGAGCCCACAGCACCGGGCAGCGAGGACCACGGTTTCCTGGACAGCTGCCATGTCCCAGCCAGATGCCGACTGCCGTGCACAACCCCCTGCTGTGGGCAGCACCATCCTGGGTCCAACACCAGGGCCTGCCTGCCCACCGCACCTGGCACTGCAGCCTGTCCAGGACTTGAGACAGGACCTCACTCCCAGGGGACAGAGAGCTCCATGAACCCCTCATCCAGGCAGGTCTCAGGAACTCACCACATGCTCCACGGAGGCCCCTCTCCGGAGGATGATGGCATCTGTGAAGTCCGGCCTCTCTGCACAGGTAGAGACGGGGTGGGTGTGAGCCAGTCATGGCCCCACACTATGTGGTTCCTTCCCACAGGGAACAGAGGCCCTTCCAGTCTCCAGCCTTGGGCTAGCCTCCCCCTTTATTTAGCATACCCTCATTGTAGAGCCCCATGCAATCTCCTACAACCTTGACCTTAATGCAGATCAAAATAAATCCAAGTCCAGTATTCAAACTGCCTGCAACCCAGTCAGCCATGAGAGCCCCAGCTGAGCCCTGTGAGGCATCTGGAAAGTACTGGCATGATGTGACAGCTGCTGGCATCCAGTCAGGGACAACTACACGCTCCCCTTGCTTACAAGGTCAAGGTCAAGGAAAACTGCCAGAACTTAGGAGCTAGGTCCCTTTGAGTACAGGGGGTGGGGGCATGGAAAAAGCTCTTGTACATGCAGTCACCTACAGTCCTGAAGAGGGGCCTGCCACTGTTGGGGGAAGTCGGGAGGGGTTACTGCTACAGCTGTGGGGAACTAAAGAGCAGCCTCTATCTCACTGCCCCCAGGTCACCCTCAAGACTAGTAGTCCCAGAATTTGGCATTCTTTGCCACAAGGGCTCAGGCTGAGGTCTCTACCAGCCTGGGTAGAGGACAGTGCCAGTTCTGAGACGGGAGAAAAGTGGAGATGTGTACAACACAGGCTGGGCGCTGGGTGCCACCGGCAGTGTGTGGCAGCCCCCGAGGGTGGGGCTGATTCTTGGCTGAGACTGCTCGACTCACGTCCTCTCTTCTTGGTGTAGATGCAGGTCAGAGCCAAGTATTCCCAAAGCATTTCAAGCAAGTAGTCCAGGTTCAGCTTCATGCCACAGCTGCCAGGGAGGAAGGTGGCGGTCAGAGGAGCCCCGTGGGCTCAGAGGCCAGGGAGCGCTGCTCTCTCACTGTGGCAAGGGACAACCTTGCCTCCACATGGCCGGCATAGGCACCAAGGCATGAGGCCCACTGGAGCCTGTGAGCACCAAGCTCCAGCTGGTGGCAGCGTGACCTTCAGCACCAATGCCTCTAGTCAGCAATCAGACCGCCAGCAGAGCTCAGCGTCTCCCTGGGGCCACAGCTGCTGTCTGCAATCCACACAGGGACCTGCTGTGTGAGACTGCTGCGGGCTGTGATGGGATGGAGGACAATCCAGAGCTTGCCTTCTCCTGAGAGGTGGGAGGGGCTTCCAAGTGCCCAGGGCAGCCCCGCAGGGATTTCAGCGCCAGGGGTCGGGGTGGGGCTGGTTGTGGTCATTTACGTTGTCTTAGCTCCTGCCTCTATCCCACTGCCCCTCCCCCGGCCCCATCCGCAGCTGTTCTGAGCCTGATGAGCAGGAAAGATGCTCTCACAGCCCACAGACGGGCATAAGGGTGCCTGGGTGTAGCAGGAGGTGGAGAGGAGCCAAGTTGTTCTAGGAGGGAGTTGGCTCTGCTGCTCTTTGCAGCAGCTGGCAATGCCCAGGAAATGGCCCTCGCGCTTGCATCCCGCCATTTGCATAGTCACCCCACCTGGTCCCTGAGCTTCTTCCTCCCGGTAAGCTAAGGCCCGCTGTGAAGCTACAGAGCACCTTGTTTGAGCTGGGAAACCAGCAACGTGGAAGCCACAAGTCAGTGATGACAGGAAGTGACACGGTCATTAGCGAGTGCAGGAGGCCCCAGAACCCAGCCCTCAAGGACAGGGAGCCACGGTCAAGGGTGGCTGTGTCCACCTAATAACTCCAGCTCCCTTTCCCCTCTGCTCTGGGCTGACAGAGCCACATCATCCAAAGTATCAGGAGCACCGGCTTATAGCTGGGCTTTCTGGGGGGCTGAGTTTAACTACTACGTTATGAAGCCTCTTAACCATTCCTAACCACTTACCTTGATGGACAAAACCCGTTTTCTTAACCAGAGCCCACCCCACGTCACCCACACTGTCCATGTCATTCAGGATGGGACTGAGCTAAGGTCACCGGCAGTTGGGAGGGTCTCCTCTGCCGGGCTGTGCGCGGAGGCGGCGGCAGGGAGGCGGCAGGGAGGCCTCACTGATGGGCTCACTCCCAGAAAGGACGGCAGGGCCTCACCTGATGACCACACTGTTGGGTTTCCGGGCCAGGCGATCCACTTCTTCCATCGAGATCTGGTCAATTTTGTTATAAACCTGGGATTGAAAGGTGGAGGTGGGTGATGGGGAAGGAAAGAAACAAGAGGACAGGAAAGGGCCCCATGTAGCCACAGCCCTGCCTAAAGCTCCTCCCTCCGCACCACGGCCTGGGGGCTGATGCGCAGTATCCTCCCTCCACAACGCAATGATGCGAAAGCTCAAAGGACTGGGCCGCCAGAGCCCCCAAATGGAAAGGCTGGGCCAGAACCCATGTCAGTGAGACGTGTGCGACTCAAGGAGCCGTGGGTAGAGGGGAGGAGGGTGGAGACAGTTCTGCACCTCAAAGAAGCCCGTCCCCCATCTGAGTCAAGGAGGCTCAGGAAGTGCGGCCTGGGGCAAGGCGCCCCTCCACAGGGCAGGGGCGGGACTTGTACACTTACATACAAGCAGGGCATGTACACCCGGTTGCCCACAATCACGTCGATGAACTCGTCCGGGGAGCAATCCTCTCGGAAGAGCACTTCTGCATTGAAGATCTCTGAGAGGCTCGGGTTAAGGGCACAGTGCGCACTAGCAGCCCTGGTGCCCAGCCAGCTGAGGGCCCGAGACAGCCCATCAGGAAACAGACTGGGAGGCCCTCTCTGCTCGCAAGGTTTTACAAGAGTTTCAAGTCTGGGGAGCCCCTCATTCTTCTTTTCAAAAGAAGCCACAACATGTAAAAGCTTCAATCACCAGTTCAAATCTTCGCTGTTGGGCAAGAGAGTGTACTTGCCAGAACCCCCAAGTGCCTCAGAGGAGCCGGCTTCAGTGCCAGGAGCAGCTGAGAGCTCCGGTCTCACTCACCTGCCCCACGAACTCTCCTCTGGTGCATCCTGCCTCCGCTTGCACACCTCCAGTGACGAGGGCCTGGCCACCTCGAAGGGGGCCCTGTTCCCTCATGAGCTTTCCCTGTGCTGAGCTCGCCTTCGCCTCTGCCGTCCTGTCCTCTGGAGTCCCAGAGCCCGCCTATCCGCCCAACAATCCTTAGCAGGTGTGCACAGGCCCCTGGGGCTCCCTGAGGCTTCTCCAGACCAGGAGGCCGTGTCCCAGGTGGCTGTTGCCCTTGCTGTCGCATCGCCCTTCCAGAGGTGACTGGCCGCCACAGCACCTAGCAGTCGTCCAGGAGCCAGGAAACCAGTCCAGGGTGTGGCTGTCTGACAAGCCCGGATCTCAGTGAGCAGGAGGCGGAGATAGGCACCCCATGCTGCGGCCGCAGCTTGCTCAGAACCCGCTCGGTGCAGGCGCATCAGGAGGCCGGGGAGTCTGCTGTGACCCTGGGCCACAGGGCCTCAGGCTCCAGAGGCCCCTCCCGCATCGCTCCTTTAGGAAGGATACTGTACTCGTGCAGGATCAGCTGCACCAGCTTTTCTGAGCACTGGGTCAGCGTGACTGTCGAATTAAAGGAGATGCCACCGCCTTTCTTGGGCTGGAGGAGAAGGGAAGGGAGAGCTGCTGATGAAGGCTCAGCTCCTGCCTGATGCAGCGCACACGCCCCCCATCTCTCCCCCGCCCCCACCCCGCCCCGCAGCCTGCAGGTGATGGGCCTTACCTTGAAGTAGATGTTAGGCTTGTGCTTGTTGAGGCGGATGCCCACCGACTCCAGTTCCTTCTCCAGCAGAGACCTGGGCAGAGCCCCCACGAGCCTTCACAGGTGCCCAGAGGCAGGCTGCGCAGCTTCCATGTAACACAGGAAGCCCCTGCCCACCCAGGCCAACACCCTCCTCTACACGCCCCCTGCAACCTGGACCTTCCTTCCCAACAACCCTGGGCTGCAGAGGAGCCTCTGGGCCCTCTGTCTGGTCCAGGGCAGACTGGCCAGGTCTTCAGTCACTGGGCAGAGGCCGGGGCATGAACAAGGGTTCTGTTACTTGGGGCTGGGCTCTGGCAGAGACTAGGACACTGGGCCTCCGCAAGCAGGAGCTAGAGCCAGGCCATGCTCCTTTGGCCGTGGACGGCCCATGCTGCCGGGGCTCCTGCTGCGAGCTCCAGCCCCGATGCTGGAGGCGAGCCTCCTGGAGAGGACGCACCAGGCAGAGTGCACGGGGTCAGCCTGTGGACAGTCCTGCCGCTACTGCCACGCAACAGGGCCCAGCACCACTCAGACCGTCCGCCATGAGCTCCAGGGCCTTCCCAGACACGTCAGCCTGCCCCCCTATCCCACCCCGCGGACCTCTGCACCTCTCCCTTGGTGGCATCCAGCATCATGATGACGACGTCAGCTGTGCGTGCCACAGCAATCACCTGCCGGCCACGGCCTTTCCCTGGACAGGCAGAAGGGTCATGGTTACATAGTGACATAAGCAGGACCCATGTGACCCCCACCCAGCCCACAGCACCCCCGACTCCTGTCCTTTACAGACCTGCCATGGTGTCTGCCACCTGCCACCTCCCAGGCTATGATTTCTTTGGCATTTTTCTTTAATTGAGATGCTCTCTTACTTGTGGAGACTTGTTTTAGAAGAAAATTCATTATCACCACCTTAGGAGGGGTGACATCCTCCCCCAGGCCCTGTGCTAAGAGCTTCATGAACATTTCCTCACTTAATCCTCAAAACTACCCCATATGATTGGTGTTATCATGCCCATTTTACAGATGAGAAAATTGAGGTTTGGCTTAGAGACACTCAATCAGTTGCCAACAAACACAAAGCCAGTGTGGTGCCAGGACTTGAACCTGTCAGCCCTGACTAGAAAACAGGGCGACAGAAGGCCCACCCAGGCAGCATGATCACAGGAGACCACCCAGGAGGAGGTGCTTCAGGAGAGGCCAGGCCTCATTAGTACTAGACGACCAAAGAGGTCAGGCACCTTGCCAGTGTCAAAGTTGGGGACCAAAGCTGCAAGGCTCTACGGGTTTCAACTATGCCCTGCCCCCTCTTCTGAGAATGAGGGTGACATCCACTCCGCGGCTGCCTCCTGCCTCCAGCCAGCACTTCCCCACAGGTGGCCGGACCACCTCAGGCCCCTCATATGCTGGCTGGGATGGCATGAGGACCATCACCACCACTACCTAAATCAAACCGGCAGGACCTCAATGCCATGGTGACAGCAGGGCATGGGAAGGCACTAGGAGAGATGGCACTGGACACCGAGGGAGGAGGCCCCACTGCCGGCCCGAGCGGGCTGCAGACAGGCAGCTCCATCCCAGCCTGCCACTCAGCAGCTGACTAGTCGGTGAGGCAGACCCTTTCGCTCGCTGCCCCAGCGCTCCTCCTGGCTATGGACAGGAAATGACGGCACTCCCTAAGCCACAGGGCTGTCTGAGCATTAAATGGGAAAATGGTCAGCACAGAGCCCAGAATTTAGCAAGTGCTGAATAGCCAGCAGCTAGTAACCATCGCTGCAAATACTGGATGGAGCCACCTGCCACCAGAAGACATAGGCATGTTCCCATCTCAAAAAAGACCCCAAAAACCTACCCCACACAACACAGGACAAGACTAGGAGCACAGTCTGAGATCACCAGCTGAGAAGTGTCCCTCCCTCCCAGGGCAGTGGAGCACAGGGAGGGGAAGTAGGGTTTGAGCCTGTCTGGTGAGCTGTGCAACCTTGGCAAGGCATTTCACTGCCTCAGTTGCCTCGGCTTTAAGATGGGTTTCTCAGGACTGTAATGGGCCAGATCCCTTAAGTCCAGAGCACTGAGCAATGTGAGGGCTTGTGAGCCCCACCCATCAACCCTCAACAGCCACACCCAACTTCAACAAGTGAGGCTTCCTGCATCCTGAGCGAGAAGGTGGGTTCTGGGTGCCCAGCTCGCACCTTGTGCTGCGCCTTCAATGATTCCAGGAAGGTCCAAGAGCTGGATGTTGGCTCCTTTGTACTAGGATGCAGAAGAGAGGACGGTAAGGTGAGGATGGGCCACTGGGCAGGGCCTGCCTGAACCCAGGACACCTACAACAGCCTGCAGCTAGGGGCTGCTGAACCCCTGGGCCAGCCTCCATGGCTGTGTCTGAGCCTCATCACTTACTGTGAGCTGAGCCACCTGGAGGAAAGCTCTACTTTACAATCCCACAACACTCATCCCAGATGGTAACAGCTCTTCACAGATAAAGTGCTTCACCGTGAGAGGCTCAGGGCCACAGAACCCGGCTGCACACGGCTCCGAAGCTTCACGGGAAAGAGGATCCAGCCATGAAGCAACAAGTGACCGAGCTGGGGGGGGTGTGGGCAGCGGAGCACAGGGCGCCCAGAGAGCTGCCACACACTGGCCTGTTCCTGGGACCAGTGGTGTTGCAGGATGGGCCAGGCATCTCTGGGGTCTCAGCAGCCAGAATCCCCGGAGGCGCCAGTGCTTCAGGGCACACCGGCTCAGGACAGACAAACACACAATTGAAAACACAAGCACACGCCCTTGCCCCTCCTGGGGTCCAGCAAACTCCAACTTACTTCAATGACCCCTGGGATACACGTCAGGGTTGTGAATTCATAGGATGCAGCTTCACTGGCTGTGGAGGTCATTAGACTCAAGAAGGTGGACTAGGAGAGAAAGCAAGTCATGGCATGAGTCTTGTCCCCTCTCCCTGGAGAAGCCCCACGGTCAGCAGGCAGCAGGGAGGTCCCCTCCTCACCCCCTTTGATGACTGGGGTATGTGAAGAGAGCAATAGCTGGAAAGTTGTCTCAGGCCCCGCCAAGGTGGAGATGGGCACCAGAGGACCCCACTGTTCCTCAGCGGTCCAAGCCTCTCTTAGGTGGACACAGGGACCTGCTTCTCAGTGGGTTCTTCCCTTAAATCAGGGGCCCTTCCCAGCTCCACAAAACCCTTGACCATCGGGGGCCCCAGAGAACTTCAAGCAGGTGACAGCCCACGGCACTCAGATCGGCTGCTCCCCCGGGAGAGGCGAGATGTGCTGGGAGAGCCTGGCCTCCAGGTTTAGACAAAGCCCAGTGGGGGGAAGGGGTGAGCTGGGAAGAACCTGGGTGGAACACTTATGCCATAGTCCGCTTGGGAATGGGGCTGCGGCTTGGCTAGGCGACAGAGAGGCCTTGGACCCCGCCTCTGCTGGGGGACCCTGGGCAAGAAACTATGTCCTCTGAGCTTCAGTGTCCTCATATGCAGAGTGGGCATCCATTCCACCTCTTTCCTGAGGGACTGCATGGGGATTCATAGAGATGATAAGGCACGTGGTATACTGAGTCCAGGGCACAGCAAGACCAGTGCTGGACGATGAGGCCCAGAACGCAAGCAAAGCAGTGGGCAGCACCAGGAAAAAACCCAGCCCTGGCCTCAGGCGCCCATCTGGTCAGCACGGCACCTGAAACAAGCCTGAGGCGCAGTTCCGACTGGGATAGTGCTGCCTAGATCTGGAGCTGGTGCCCTCAGGACTCTGCCCCTCACTGGCAGGCAGGAGGGTGGGGGCACACCTCCCTCACACACCCTCAGGCTGAAACCTAGAATGGGGCATGTGAAGGAAACACAGGTCTCAAATCCTGAAACTCTCTGCCCAGGGGACCTCCTGAAGGTAGGGAGTGGGAGAGTAGAGCAATGGCCCTGAGACACTGAATGGTGCTGGGGGACCCCCCCAAATCCAGTTTGGCCCCTGCCAGAGAGGCCTGGGCCTCCCATGGCCAGAGAGCCTGGATTCCCAACAGGGCGGCAGGGTCTGGCCACAGGCCCCAGACTCCCAGAGGCACGGACCTTGGAGACTAGAGCAGCTTCTCTCAGCCTGCACTTCTCGCCTGGAAAGGAAGTCTTTGGTAGGATGGAAAGTAAAATCAAAAGAAAAGACTAAAATTCATGAGCCCATAATAACACCTGAAGAGCTGAAGCATGGAAACCCTCACTTGTCACCTGTGGGACAGCTGTGAGCTCAGCATCTGTCTTGCCTTTCCAGGTGAAACCCTTTCAGAGGAACCAAGCTGCCCACATGGAGGAGAGAGCTGCTACTTTACAAGGCACATCAGCTACCAAGGGAGAAAGGAGTAAGAGAACTAGAAAAGAGCTACGTTACAAACACTAATAAAACCCCAGGCAAGGACAGGTCACTGGGGCCAAGCCACTGAAAGGATGTTGACAGGCCTGATTTCTGCGAGCCGCCCAGCAGCCCCTGCAGGTGACTTTCCAGTGTTCTGGTGTGGGGGAAACACAGCTACACTCGGGGGGACACAGGGTGCGCTCCCCTTAGCGCGGCGGCCCTGGAAACACAGCTAGCCCTCGGGGGTTTTCTGCCATGTCCATCAGCCACTCGTGAACCTGGCCAACACAGTCCGCCCCCCAGCTCCCAGGAAAGAGCACAGAGTCGGACAATAAGCTGCAGCACACCTCAAGGAGGCAAGCAGACCTTGGCACACAAACGTTCCGTCGGACAACGGGCCTGGTCTCTTCAGCGAGGCAGGGTCATGACAAAAGGGGCTGGTCTAGGTTAAAGCAGCCTTCGCGACAACACACGGGGCTGCATGTGGCCAGAGTGGATCCTAGTTTGGAAAGACCAGTTGCAAAGGTCATTCTGGGGTAACTACTGATTAGCATATAGTCTGGGCACTAGATGATCACTGGTCACTGTTTATTTTGTTTGGGATGCTATGCCAGTTTGCGGCTAAGCAGGACATTTTTCTTATTCGTTGGAGATACAAGCTTAAATATTTGGAGGTGGAGGGCCATAAAGCATGACACCCGTAATTTACTCCCAAATGGTTCAGTCAAAACAAAAACACCACCCCCCCAACACACAGTGATAGAGCAATATGGCAAAATGCCAGTCGGTGATGCATCCAGATAAAGGGCAGATTGTACTTGTTTTTTCACCTCTTATGTCTGTTTGAAATTTTTATTATATAGAATTGAGAAAAATGAGAAAGAATAAAAATGACAGGGACCTGGAAACCATACCAGGATTGAAGACTGTGAGGGTACTGGGCTGGCAGAGGGCACACTTGGGGGAAGTCCCACCCCCTTGGGCAGGAGGGGCTCCTACAGCGGAGGTCTGCTCCTTCTGAGGGGCTGGAGCAGGAGGCCCCTGAGCGGCTCTGTGTCTGGCTTTTGTGAAGTTGGGGAGTCATAAGCACCCCACCACTAAAGGAATTTGAGCACAGGCTGGAAAGCTGCATGCAACAGGCTGCTCAGATTTTATGGGAGGGATGAACTGCCAAAGGCTTGAAGGAATAGGAGCTGCAGATAGAAGCTTCCAGTCCCTTCTACCTGATTCAGATGGTTACTAAAATGGCACTGCATTTCCTGAGCCCACACCATTGGAGGACAAGGAGAAAATGACAGTAAAATCCAACTGGGGTATGCGCCTGAAGACTAAAAAGCACTTAGATGCACCAGGAAGGAATCCTTCTGCAGATTCTGCAGCAGAGCCTGGTCTCGGTCCAGCCTGCACCCGCGCCAGCACGCACATCCCAGCTCAGACCCAGCACTGTGGATAGTGGGTGCACCAGAAAGCCTAGAAAACACTCCCATCGGTCCCCAGATGGAGTCAGCTGGAGTTTCTTTGGTGCGTAATTGGCCAGGCTGATGGTTGCTTTAACCCTTTGCGGTCCAATTTTATTTTTGGAATTCAAACAGTCTGGTCCAAATTCATTGACGGGATTGAATGTTCAACCGGTTTGCGGTGTCTCAGCCTCGACGTTGGACCTGCTCCTAGCACCTGGTCTGTCGAGTCAGCCTCCACGTTGGACCGAAAAGGGTTAAAAACCCTGAAGCCGGAGCTGCTGCGCCTATGCCTAGGAACGCTTCCTGCAGAAACACCAGTTCCAGAGGCAAAGCGGCGAGCAAAGAGCATTCACCACAGCACCGTGGGCTGCAACAAAAGCCTGGGCGGCCTGGCCACCACCATGGGGGTGGAGGGGAAGGGTGGCTGTTGGTGATCACATGACCACAGCATGGCGTTCCAGGCAGCAGTTCAGAGATGAGGGGATATACAAGATGAGCCTGAAGCATTTTGCAGTATCAGAAGTACGGAAGTGCTGAGTAAACACAACAGGAGTTTGTCAAAGAGCCAACTGAAACAGCTCCAAAGCAGACAAATCTGAGTAACAATAGAACCCAAGTATACAACAAATTCCCAGAGTCCACACTGATATAAATAAATGATTAAATAAAATGGGAGAGAAGGGACAAATCTCACGTATGAACTCTGAATAATTTGTGTACCTACGCCCCCTCAAAAAGGTGGAGCTAACTCCTCCCCCTAGTGGACTGCACACAGTGCCATCCCTTCTAAGAAGACACGAGAACATGAGAAAAACCGTGAGTTCACGGAGGAGAAACCTGACAAACTCGCACTCCCCAGGTGGTCAAGGTCAACATCAACTGATGATGTGAGAAAAATGGCACTCCACTCCTGTGGCATCCTCCCGCAAACCCATAACCGTCTAAGCATGAGAAAAGGTTATATAAACCCCAGTGGAGGGACTTTCTACAATACCCCACTAGCACCCCTCAAGATGGCCAGTCATCCAATCAAGGCCAGTCTGAGGAGAGCTGAGAGGACAGGACCACTGAGTGCAACGAGGGCTCCCGGGGCAGGACAACAGAACTCTGTGGCAGCCGGGCGTGGGGCAGGAAGGAACTCTGTGCTGGCTTGGCAGCTTCTTTGTAAATCCTTGACTCTTAAAAAGCTGGGCAGCTCAGTCCCTTTTCTGCTCAAAACCCTTCCACGAGGTTTATATTACTCCACACTCAAATGTTAAGTATGAATTTCACACTAAACTAAGAAGCTTACAGAAGAAACTTAAAAAACTCTGCAGTGGCTCCTGCTTCACTCTATTTCACTCAAGGACAAAGTTGTATGACGGCTCCAAAGTCATCCACCCTCTGCAATTTGTCTCCCACTGCTGCTCACTCAGACCCGGCTACCTGGCTCCCTTAAACACAACAAGCCCCCACCTACGGGCCTTTGCACCCACTGCTCCCTCTGTCTGGGATGTTCCTTCCCAGGGCCCTGCAAGCTTCCACACAACCTTCAGGCCTCTGCTCAAATCTCTGCTCACCAGGGCAGCTTTTCCCCGATCCCAACCAGAAAGTGGCGGGACCACAGTCCCCACCCGCCATTAGCTGTCTTTTCTCCCCCGAGAGGGGAGGTCTGTGTGGGCAGGGACAGAACTCTCTCACTCTCTGCTGTATCTCAGCAGCGGGCACGCAGTGCACACTCAATGAATGTGCACAACGGATGAGTCAGAGACAGAATGGAGCTATTTCTGCTAAAGCAGAAAGAAAGTTCTCCATGTTAGGATGATACAGGGGTGGGGCCTGATCCTGGGGGAGGCTGGGTCTTCTCTGTCCCTGGAGCTAATCCAGAGGGGCAGGGAGAAGAGCCGCAGTCACTCTGAAAGGAGACACCCTGCCTTCCTCCCCAAGGCCCACCATGACCATCACTGACCTTACCCACAGAGGGAAATCCAATCAGTGCCACACGGGCGTCGCCCGACTTCATGACATCGAAGCCCTCTCCTTTGGATGAGGCCGATTTGGATGGTTCTAGGAGCTGGGCCCGATACTTGGCCAGTTTTGCTTTCAGCAAGCCCAGGTGATATTCGGTGGCTAAAGGACAAAAAGCAAGACAAGGTAAATGTCTAAAGTATCCAAGCCCTGTGAGTCAGGTGGGGCCTCACACACCACCAAGTGCTAGCCAGAATGTCAGACCCAGTGGCAACCACTGTGAAGATCAGGAGAGAAAAATACCACCCCTCTGCTGAAAATGCCCCCTTGGCTGCTCACTTCATCTGTATGGCTAAGTGACTATCCGACTGGTAGCTATGACGTGTACTGACCACCAGGGGGCAGACACTCAACTCAGGAGCTGCGGTGACGCACACTGGCCATTTAAAAATAAATAGCACCGAAGACCTGGTGCCATCAAACCAACACTCGGCTTCCTCCAAGTGGGACACAGGCCCCGCCACCACCCCTGAGCGACACCCCACCAAATCACAGCCAATGCTGCCAAGACCCTGTGGCGCAAAATGCGGCCCACTGCCCAGCCTGGAAACGGTCACTGTGGGCGCCGGGTAATGAAGTCACATAGCAACACCCTGCTTCCTCTCCCTAGCGACTAGCCTTCTTGGAATTTCTCAGCCCAGGAACACAACTTGCTTTATATCCAGGTGCAAACATTTCAGAGTTTAACCAAATGTTTGTGAAGTATTTTCACGTGCCTCATCTCATTTGATCCTCACAGAAGTCCTGGAGTAGGTAGATAGGAGATTCAGTGGAATCCTATTCTCTTTTCATTAGCCGGAAAATGGAGACTTAGAAAGTTTAGAAACTTGACCCGACTGAAAAGTAAGAAATGGTGGACCCTGAAAACCACTTCAGGTTTTCTCACTGTGCAGAATATAGTCAAACACCGCTGCAGCTAAATATTTTACCCTTTGTTCTCCCTGCGTGATCTACAATAATAATCTGCTTTGTGTTGATATTTACTACTGTGTTGCTGACAATTACCTGAAAGAGAAGTTGGGGTGCTTCACTGGGCTGGAAAAAGTTTAGCTACACCAGAAAGCATGTCTAATTAACACATTGTGTACCGCATAGAAATCTCTAAGACATACGCCAGGGACCGCACGTTTTTGGGCAAACTCCCTGTTATTTAAATCATCATAATGCACTTTAGGTGTTGTTTTCAATAATTATAACATTTTTATTTACAAAAACAATTAAACAATTAAAGTTCCTAGTACTTTTTTAACGTATGGTACTGCGTAAAACAATTTCCTCTATGAAGAGGGACCAAACAAAATTTACAAAAGTATCTAGATTCGATCCTTTTTCCATGGGCGTGAAAAACGAGAACACTCGTGAGCGGTCCTTAACAGATGGCGCGCGAAACACGAGAAAACTCCTGAGCGGTACAAAATGTGTTAAGCAAGTTTGTTCTATATCTATAAAAGGCTAAGTTGACTCGTGCATGTGCGATACATATAAAGCTCTTGCTGGTGCCAATCGCAAGCGTTTCGATCTGTCACTGTCGATCATGAATTTGGTTGACACTTCTATTATAGAGAAAGGGCGAATAGTGATATTAAAATATTTCTTCTAATTAATTTCCTTTCGATGTGCACGAATCCATGCACCGGGCCACTAGCCTTATATAATAAAACCCTAATATGCAAATCAACCAAACAGCAGAACTACCGGTCGATATGACGTGCATTGACCACCAGGGGGCAGATGCTCAACGCAGGAGCTGCCCCCTGATGGTCAGTGCATTCCCACAGGGGGAGCACCGCTCAGCCAGAAGCCAGGCTTACAGCTGGTGAGTGCAGCAGCAGTGGCGGGAGTCTTTCCTGCCTTCGCAGCAGCACTAAGGACCCCTTGGGAGTGGATCGGCTGCCTCCTACACACCCCGTACTGGGGATCGAGCCCGAATCCCGGGCATGTGCCCTTGACCGGAATCGAAACTGGGACCTTTTGACTCTATCCACTGAGCCAAACCAGCTAGGGCTAGTTTTTTTTGTTTGTTTGTTTTTGAGAGAGTGGGAAAAAAAAGAGAGAGTGGAAGGGAGGAGAGGAGGGGAGGAGGAAGAGGGAGGGGGAGAGAGAGAGTGAGAGAGAGCGAGAGAGGTTGTTTATTCCTTCGTCGGTAGCTTCTAAATATATATAAATAAAAATGCAAATGTTCATTTGTTCAAAATCTTAAATCTCCGAAAGTTCTTCACCGATTGCTTTGAAGTTTTGACACAACGTTGCATTCGAAATCACGCGTGTTTTTATATACCTATATACCTACTATTATATAGATGTCACACCTGTGACAGGTAAAAACATGCTTTTTTTGAAAAACAGCGCCATCTGTTGGACGTAAAAGCAACACACGCTATACTAAATATTTTACGATTCCATTTCAATGTTTCTGTTTACAATTATAAATTGTAGATAAAATTAACCACAGATATGCGTGTCCAGCTGCAAAACGATCCATCAGCTGAGATATTCTCACATCAATTGCTGGGAATTGGGAACGGAAAGGTGCCGGTTGATCTGACCTCAGGACGAATTTCATTGCCTCATAACTTCTGCAACTTAGTGACGTCAAAAGAAGAATTGGTTGAAAAAGTATTTCCCAATATTCAAACCAATGATAAGAATCACGATTGGCTGAGTGAACGAGCTATTCTCGCGGCCAAGAACAAAGACGTCTACGGACTTAACAATATCATTCAGTCTAACATTCAAAGCGAGGCAGTTACATACAAGTCCGTCGACACTGTTGTGGAAGCAGATGAAGCGGTTAATTATCCAACAGAATTTTTGAATTCACGCGATCTGCCAGGGATGCCACCGCACGTACTGCAATTGAAAATCGGCGTGCCAATTACCATGTTGCGAAATGTCAACCAGCCAAAGCTTTGACAGGCACGCGGCTTGCAGTAAAAAAATTAATGAGCAATGTCGTAGAAGCAACAATCTTGACAGGACCTTTCAAAGGTGAAGATGTCCTCATTCCTCGCATTCCTATGATTCCAACGGATATGCCATTTCAATTTAAGAGATTGCAATTCCCAATTTGATTGGCGTTTGCAATCACCATCAACAAAGCTCAGGGGCAATCTTTAGAATTGTGCGGTTTACATCTAGACACGGATTGCTTCTCACATGGACAATTATATGTTGCGTGTTCTAGAGTCGGCAAACCAGACAATCTCTATATCTGCACAGACAATGGAACAACAAAAAATATTGTATACCCACAAGCATTGTGAAATTAAACATATTAGAAACATGCGCTTTCTCTTTTCTTTCTTTTCCATTTAACCAGACTGAGCCACAGCAACGTGTGGCCGGGTACAGCTAGTTTATAATAAAAGTGAGTCTCCTTATTGAGGCCTCGGGACCCCATGTCAGTGGTTCTGAGTGGATCCAGCAACACTCCCTGAGGGCTTTCTAGAAATTCCTACCGTTGTTTTCCATTATCATTCTGATGGTGAAGCCAACTGCCCTACCAGGTGTGAGTCAGTCTAGCACAGTCAAGAATTGTCCTGTGTCCCACGTGACTTTTCATGTCCCAAAGACATCCAAAGAAAAAACCTGGTTAGGATCACAGGGGCCTGAAATCTAACTGCTTCACACATACACACAGGGATTTTCTGCACTGTGAATAAACGCTGAAATTTCCAGGAATGCAACTCCTGTGCATGTTCAAGGAAGACTATAGCATGTTTTGTTTGAAACTTTACCTAGAGCTGCTCACCATCTTGGGATCCTATGCCACCAACAGTGAAGCCCCTTGCGGGAGGTACTAACAATATATCTGCACGGCCTGCATTGTGTCAGCCACACCCCCATTCTACTCAGAGGTACAAGCATCTCACTGCTTCATTATCACTTCATTATCACTTGGCTGTGGCCCAACATTTGCATATTGAAACACACAGTATTTTTATTAGAAATTACTTTCCCTTTCCCCCTCCTTTATATTACTATTAGGGCATTATATTGATATTTTTCAAATTCTTTGTGTACGAAAGTTATACTATTGATGGGGAATCACACTCCAGAACAGTAAAGAGGGTATTACAAAGTCTTTGCTATAAACGGAGGCTGGGCTGACATTAAGCAGCAGGGCCCTAGGTGGCCTGGTCCCCGGCTACTTCAACAACATCTCTTACCACTCCTCTTTTATTTCCTACATTCCAGCCACAGTGGCTTTCGCAGCATATGCTGACCCCATTTCTGCCTCTGGACCTTTGCATCTGCTGTTCCTTCCATTTAAACTTTACCTTCCCAGGGCTTGCTCCTTCTCAACATTCAAGGCAAACTCAAATGTCACCTCTTCAAGGAAGTCTCCCCTACCAGTCTTGGGGGACAGTGTCATCCAGAGGCCCACCCTGGCCATTTTGCTTTGGGTAAATTACTTAATCTTCTTGTGCATTAGTTTCTTAACCTGCAAAATAGGGATGTTATAACAATAACTACTTCACTGGATTGCTAGAAGGCTTAAAGAAAGCACTAAGAACATGTCTAGCACATAGTAAGCACCCAATAAAAGTTGGATATTATTACTATCTACAGTAACCCCATCTCTCTCTAGTCCCTCTCTGCCTCGGTCCTGATGATTGTCTGCATGGCTCTTATCACCATTCAAAACTGTCTTGCTTCTTTCTTTAGTTCCCTCCCTCTAATAGGGCAGGGACTGGGACTGCCGTAGTTGTATCCTCAGCTTCTCGCTCAGGGTACATACAGGGCAAGTGCTCAGGAAATGTTTTAATAAGCAGACAGTGAGAAATGGTCAAGAATGGGTTCAGGAGCAGCCAGGTTGACATGGTCCTTCCTGTCATTCCAGCGCATCAGATCTGAGCATCCCTGAAAGGAAGGACTAGATCTAAATCCCCTTCACTCTCCCTCCTCCACCGCTCTAAAGTGGGGGCGTCTCTCGCCTCCCCTAAGCCTCCCTGCTACTTTTCGTCCCATAGACGATACCCCACCGGGGAACTAGAGAGGAACTTTTAAAACAGAAATCAGACTACATCTCTCCTGCTTCACACCCTCCACTAGCTCCCACTGCCCTCACAACACGTCAGACTTGGCCCAGGACCTACACGTGCTACGTGATTGGCCCCCTCCTTTCCCGTCACTGCACTCCAGGCCCAGATCTTC